TTAAAATCAACGGTATTTGAATTAAAGGGTTGAAAATATACTTTATAAAATTAAAGTACCAAACTAAAACCTTATGTAAAGTTAGAGAATCAAATGTACACTTTTGTCGTTTTTTCTTAAATCAAGTTTGTGATCACTTCAAAATTGCTAAAATGGATTGTTTGATTGGATAGGAAATTCAATTAATTAAAACTTATTAACTTAAAACTTAGAGAAATATATTCTTTTTTTAAACAAATTAGTTGTGCTCATTTTGGGAATGGAAGATGGCCAGAAGATGAAGATGATAGGGTTTGAGAGACATTCTTCTATGATTGGTGGGGAGAGAATTGAGAGTTTGAGAACTAAAACCATATTTTTATATTTTAATTTTTAATATTCTTAAGTATTATTATTTTCTGTTTTTTATTGTAACTTTTACATAAATTTATTTGATTTTTATAATTTCCATGAATATTTTTATAGAAAAATTTAAGACTTTTAGTAAACTCATTCATTTATTTCTGTTTGTTAATTTTTTATATTTGTATTGTTTATGTTTTTAGTTGAAACGATGATTAATATGCATTTTTGCCCCTTAATTATTCATGCAAGAGCTTTGGTATTTTAATTGCATGCTTGGCACATAAAAAAATAAAAAAATATATTCTAGAATGAAAATGAGAAATATACCTAGAAAGAAAATGAAATAAATGCATTTCCTTTTTCCTTTTTAGCTAGATTTTTTTTTTTACTTACCGAACAAACATTGTACAAGTCTCTGTTTGGTTGTTGGACCAAATAATTTAATTTTAAATTAATTATTTTGATTATTCTAATTTTAATAAGGTTTTGTCTTCAATTTATTTTTGTGAAAATAATTATATGAAACATGATATATTGATATCAGGTTATTTTAGTCGTTTTGATATTTGTTTATTTGTTCTTTCTATTTTCTCCTATTTATCCAAATACATGAAGTGACAACATTTTTTTTTTTTTGAGTTTTCTCTCCTTTCCATTTTTTCTCTCTCTCATTTTCTTTCCTCCAAGTTTCTCTTCCTATCCAAACAAAAGGTAAGGGGTTAATGATTTGACCATAAAAACTTTGAGGGGTCGAAGTAGTATTAAATTTAATTAAAACCATATAATATAAAAAATATTTACTTTTCAATAATTGAATCAATATAGTTTTTTTAAATTATTTACTTTTAAAAGTTAAATCAATATAATTTAAAAAAAATCTTTACTTTTAAAGAATTATTCAATTTTGCCAAGAACACAATGTCTAAATCTCTGGACTCGTAAATTTTTAAGAGAAAGGAGATTATTAACTTTCTGCAGTTTCTAGGCATGAATTTAACTTTGTTTGAGTTTGTTGTTTTTCACCTTCTTGTCATATAAAAAAAAATATCTTTATCTCAAATAATGTGTTATTTAGTAACTGTGATATGGTTAGAAAAAATATAGGAGATATAATTAGGGGCAATATAATATTTTAAAAATATATTTTGATATTTGATCCTTTTAAATAATAACCATTTTTAATATCTAGTCCAATAAATATTTTTTTCTAGGTCCTTCGTTATGATTTTCGTGGTGAGTGGTGGCCATTTCATCTAATCAGTGGAAAGCATAGAGAGAAGATTATCTACGTCCCTGATGATCAATGAATAAATTATATTGCCTAACGAGCCTAAATGCTATTTTTAATTATATTTTTAAGATACTTGAATATTTTTATTTAATATTTACAAATTAAATAAATTTTTTAAAGTCATTTTTTTTACCCTGGTAATATTTTTGGGCTATGTTTTATGGAATTATTCTTAGTTATATCACAATTTGGTGTTCATATATATATATAATGTAAAATAAAATAAAATTTTTAATTCCATTAATATCCTCTAAAAAGCCTTAAACCTATCGAACATGGAAAATATTTGTTTTCATTTCCACTTCCTCATAATTTGTTTGTTTCATTTTAAGTCACCCAATTACTACAAATGAAAAGTGGACACTGCTTGCTTTGAAGTTTAATTTTCTGTTAAGGACCCTTACAATAACTTGATTAATTGGTCCGACTCTTTTTTCATTTGACAGCAATATCTATTGAGGATATGTAATTGAAGAAATTGTCTACACATTTTACAGCTCATTGATATGACAAAAAAATTCATAATCTCATTTTTCTATTGGCTTTCAGAAAATAATTTTTTTGGAATTTTTTGGGTGTTGGTCACTCGTGTCGGACATGCGTAGGGTTAAAACCAATGGATGAGACTGCTCCACGTATGTTATTCTTTGGCATGATTTCCACCGCACATCAATTTCATGTAACTGTCATTTTCTCTTTTTGGGAAAATGACAGTTACACACCCAGTAACAGTGTTTAATACAATTACAGACCTCAACTTTACATATTACATCCCTTAAGAATTAATAGTTAAATTTAATAGATTATACACCAAACATGTGAAGACTTGCTTGAAAATGAATAGGTTTTTCTTTCTTGCATAAAAAGAAATATTTACATCAAATAAGTTCAACTTTGTATATAGAAAACTATAGGGTGATATATAGTCATGTCTCCTCATATATAAAAAGAAAAAGAAATATAAAATTTATCATATGAAATGGCAGAAGAAGATCACATGCATAAAGTTACTCCAGCCACTTTTTGTCTATGTAGTGATAGACTATATCGAAGACAGATAGGATCCGTAAAAGAATCATCTTATGAAGGGCATTTTGGTTCAACACATATAACTTAATGGTTAAGTAAAGATTGGAAGAATGAAAATAAACTCCTAAAAGTTGAAGCGATGTTTGTGTTTTGTCATTATTGATTCTATAGGAGATTTGTATAGGATTTAACAGTAAAAAAGTGAAACGTTTGTAATTAAGATAAAATAGAAGGGAAGGTTGGTGTATTTTATGTTTTTATAATGAAAAATATCAAGAATCTATAATTGAGGAAATTTCCTCAAAATTTCTTGACACATTGATGTAGTCCTATAAAAGGAATTTCATCTTATTTTTCTAGACTCACGATTGAACTCAAGTCAATGTGAACGTCTTTATAGTAGAGAATAGGGCACAATAATTCCAGTCTTACTTAAAAATACTTTTTTAATTTCTTATTCATTTTATTCTTTGAGTTCTCTTTCTCTTCATTTCTAATTCCTTTCTTTCTGCCTTTTTTTACAAAAAGTGAAAAACTGTAGAATGAGAAATAAAGTAAGCAGTACTTATCTTGAAAAAAAAGAAGGCATAATACTGGAGATTTTGTATTTGGCCAACTAATGTATAAAGTAGATTCCACTCAGTATGTGTATTTATAAACTACTTTCAACATGTTTTATAAAAAAATTTAAATTCATTAGCTTTATTCAAAGATTTAATAAAATTTTTAATTTTTTCATAGCCAGAGGAGCATCTAAGAAATTTTTATTTTCAATTCTATCAAGTATACATGTTTTAATAATAGATTAACACACACCAATGTTTAAATAGGGTTTCTTAAAAGAAAAATCCATATGTTTTATCATCAAAATAAATAAAGTTTTCTTTCTCTGCTAGTCTACATTAATTATAAATGTGATTGAATATTTGCTAAATTATTTTAGCCAAATTCAAACATTTAAAATATGATCTTTTTTAAATGGAGTAAAATAAAGTTATTTTTCTACAAGAGTTTTATGTGTTATAACCTAAAAATTTATTTCAGCAAAATCTTATTTATGTCTATAACCTTACATAACAAGAGTTTTAGAAAGAAGGAAGCAATAATTTTAAACAAGTGATTTTAAAAAATTAAATTGAAAATTATATCACAGAATATTTCTATACTATATAAAAGAGGTAAAGTAATTTTTATTAATTAAAATGAAAAGTAAGGTACTAGTAGATATAACTTCAATGTTTTATGCATTGTTCTTTATTCGTATTTTATTTTAATAAATTTTATATTTAATATAATTTAATAAATATCCAAAATTAATCAAGTATTAATATTAATATTTATCTTAATTATAAATTTTGGTCCCATTAATTAATTATTTTCGGCTTATCACTGAGGTCGGATATTAAAATCTAAGCTGTGTTCTTGTTAGACTCAAAATCATTTGTCATTAAATATAATTTCATAACTAGAAAGTATGTGCCCGTTTAGTAAATCAAGTCATTTCATTGACACCAAACTAAAGGTTCTATCTTTTATTTTTCACAAAAAAAAAAGGTTCTATCTTTGGACTGGTGGCCCAACAATACAAGTTTGTTCTCTGGACCAGCTGCACAATAATTCAATAATTTTTTTTTATTTCTGTCAATTCATTTTGAACATTAAAGTTGCGTAGAGAAAACGGCACAATTCTATATTTCACAATTTTTTTGAGAATTTTGTATCGTATTCGTGAATTGTCCCTTGAAAATTCTATCGTACCATTTCATGACAATTCTCATACATTAACAATAAAGGGAGCGATTTAAAAAAATTGTAATCTGAAAAGTTAAATTGAATTGTCTTTTTCAATTGTGCTCTACGTAAAAAAAAAAATTATATTTAATTGCAAGGCATTAAAAAGTTGTCCTTATATTTATTTAAAAAAGAAAAAGGTTGTCCTTATCAACGTTGTTGCATATTTATAGTAAGGCCTTCTCCTTTTTCTTCTTCAACCTAAGAATCCCATACACCATGGCAAACCTTCGTTTCCATTTCTCCTTCTCCATGTTCTTATTGCTTTGTCTCATGGTTCGCCCCACTTGTTGTCATACCAATTTCAGCACTGATGAATTGGCACTTCGTGCCTTTAGATTTTCTGTGAGAGACCCTTATAATCACTTGAATGATTGGTTCAACTCTTCTTCTATCTGCAATTGTGTAGGGGTTACATGTGATTCTAATTATGAGAGAGTGAAGATCCTAGATCTTAGTAAAATGGATCTTAAGGGGACCTTAACCGTACAAATTGGAAATTTATTTTTCCTCATTAAACTCGTCATTCATAGCAACAACTTTTATGGTGAGTTACCAAGAGTTGTTCCAGCTACACAAGTTGGAAATTCTCAACTTGAGCTATAATGCATTCAATGGAGTAATCCCAACTTGGATTGGAAGCTTGTCTTCACTTCAACACTTGATTCTCCACAATAATGCTTTTGAGGGTGTTATTCCTCCAAGTATATCCAATTTGTCAAAGTTGGAGAGCTTGGAATGTAGATCCAATTTTATAAAAGGTTCCATTCCATTTGAGATTGGAAGACTTGAGAGTTTGAAGATTTTACGCATTTCAAGGAACAACCTTTCAGGGAAAATACCTCCAGCCATTTCTAATTTATGGTCACTTGAGAGGATCATTTTATCTTACAACTCTTTATCAGGTATGTCTAGAATATCTGTAATATAACTATTATATATATATATATATATGATATATCTTTCACCAAACTATTTGATGGGTATAAATTAATTAGACATTCATTAAAAGGCTTTCAAGGTTGGGTTTTCTTATGCCTTTAATTAAACTATTTACTGTCTATCCCACGACAATCACATTATAATTTTGACTAATCTTAATATTTGTATTGCCCTGTAAGTGTAATTAATCTACTGAACTGAAAACTGTTCACATGTAAGAATTTTACAGATGGCATGAAACAAATATTTTCAAAAGATAATTATATTTTCAGGCTATTTTCATTTGAACCAAGGCTGGAGTCAAACTCAAAGGTCGGCAAGAAGTTTTATTAGACAATAGATGATTTATATTACTATAAAACATAAAAAATACAAATATATAAAGATAAAACATATAAACAAACATATTAACTTTAGAAAAGTACTTCAACAAAAACTTGTAAAGAATACAAAAAATTCACTTTTTAATGATTTAGGAATAATAATGATTTAATTTCAATGAAGTTAATAATTTAATCATATTTTTATATAGCATTATATATGTTATACATTATGTTCACCCGATTTTGTGTTATAATTATCGTTAGTAACTCTAAATTTTTTTAGTTAATATACTTTTGCTAATCAAATCAAGACTTGTGGACTTTAATGTGTTAGTAATATTAATAATAAGAATTCATTATACCACAAGGCATTGGAAAGTTGGCTATGCTTCAAAATTTAGGTCTTGATAATAATAATTTACAAGGTAATTTTTCTTCAATTTTCTAGCTTCTATATTTTATTCTTTTTTAAATTGTTTTACCATTATTACTATGAAAACAAAGCAGTTTCTCTTCCCATTTTTCCTTTCGTTTATAAATTTGTTTGTGCGAAATTTTTAAAAATAAGTCTTTAGTTATTTTTAGTGATGTTAATTACGACGTCTTGTGTGAAGCATTTTGTTCGTTTGGAATAGAGAAAGCTCTACTTGGAGCGAAGAAAAACGGATTTGCCACCAAAGTTTGTTCTCTAATCCATGAATAACAATTCCATTCTGGTCACAGACAGTTTATTAATATACTAGAGTTGAAATTTTCTTATTGAGTGACAATATTAACATCAATACTAAACTATGAAGTCTCTATCTCATTGTTCCCTTTAAATTGTAAACGAGAATCAACAAAATAAAAAATATATAGAACTTCAATCCCAATAATTTAACCAAATTTAATTTTTAATACCACATTAAATATAAGTTTATGAACAAGATGTATATTATTTTTCATTTTTCACATTATTTTTTATAAGTTTATGTGTACGTGAAATTTCTTGTTTCAATAATTCTTTATATGTATAAAAATAAGTCTGTAGTTATTTTCAATTGAAATGATGCTGTATAGATTGATTAGTGTGGCAGTATGATATGTAATGGGCTTTACCTATATAAAACATATGATGTATATAAATTAATTAAACATTTGTTAAGGGCTTTCAAGGTTGTTTTTTATTTTTTTTTTTACTTGTGCCATGAGTTAAATTATTTACGATCTATCTCTCTATAGTTGTTATAATTCTGACTAATCTCAGAATTTGTATCACCCTACAAGTGTAATCAATCTATCGAAATAAGTCATGAAAAGTCAAAAGATAACTTTATTTTCAGGTTATCTTCATTTAAACTAGGGTTGAAGTTTAGAATTAATCAAAGGCGGGTGGGGGATTTTGTAAATACACACAAAAACTATCGCATTTCAATTTTCATTTTTTAAATTTTATCATTGATATTTTTAAAAGTAATTTTATGATTTGCAAGAAATGGTATTAGGTAATTGACGATAGTATAATAATATAAAACGTAAAAGAATAAAAATATATAAAAATATGGAAATATGAAAAACATATCAACTTTATAACAGTACTTCAATAAAGAACTTTGTAAAGAATACAAAAATAATTCATATTTTAATTATGAAAGATTCGTAATTATACAAATTCAATGATGTAAATAATTTATTTATATTTTTTATATAATACATTATTTTCACCCGATTTTATGTAATAATTATTCTTAGTAATTCTATATTTTTATAGGAAAAATTAACTATTTGATTTCTATAGTTTAATTTAACTCATTGTAATTTTTTTGGTTTAAGCTCGTCGTGATTTAGTTCTTATACTCTGTCCCATTATTTCCATCCATCCTTATTCTTTAGAAAATAAATTAGTCCCTTATAACTCATCCTACATTGCAGTTACAGTAATTAACAATATCAAAAATTGTTTAGAATAGAGATTGAGAAGAGTATAAGAACCAAGTTGTGATTAATTTAAGTATAGAGATTGAGTTTGTGATAGAAACAAAATAATTAATCTTCCCTTGTTTATATAAGTAAGGTTTTATTCAAAATGTTTTGTGATTTATGATATTATATGTTGTTAGAAACTTTTCATATTATTTATGATTCATTTTTAGAGAAAATTATATTCATTAATCTTTAATTTTACTGATATTACTGAAGCCACCCCATAATTGGAAAACATAGACTATAATTTAATTTTTAACTGTGTTGAATGTCGTTCCCCAAAGGTTCTGAAATACTTTTTTATTAATTAAAAGGTGCATCATGGCAATTTCAAACTTCCTAGTTACTAGTATAATGCTTTGACTATATATCATTCAATTAATCGATGCTATTTAGAACATGTCTAGAAGGTTTTTACATGTTTGGAAAAACCATTTTTTGGGGGCAAAATATAAGAATACTATTGCAGTGAAGCTGTGTCAACAAAATTTCTCTTATTTTTTAGTTTAAATTCATTTCTACTGTTTTTATTGCTTCAAACATAATTACAATTTTAGTACCCTGAAAGGTATATAGGAGCATAGTTTTTTAATCATGACATTAAAAGGTTATATTTTGATTGAATCAAATCCACAAACTTAAATTGAGGTGAAAATTGCAACGTTAATATAAAATATGGATAAAGTGCAAAGGGAATCGGAATGATAGAGTAAAACAGAAAGTGATCATATGCAACAACCTTAATTAATTCGTTACCACCCAAAAAATCCCTCACTTTCCATGCAGAATGCCTATCACTTGAATTGCATCTGCACGATCTATAATGCATCACCACTCTTGTCATTTCAAATGATTTTCATTTGCATGCTTGATTTGACATGAGTTATGAAAAAAATAAAAACAATTTAATGATTAAAATAATACTTATATACATGATTCAAAAAATCAGAAAGATAACAAATTATTAGTATAACATATACTTTTAAACAAACGACGTAATAAACATAGATCAGAAACGTTTTCAATCAAAGACTCAACCAGAAGATGACATGATCTATAATCTACTATCAATAAACACCGTGCTGTGTATTTTGAAATTTTAAAAAAAAAAATCTCCTACCTTCATATTATCATATATATGTGCATGAAACTTACATCTAACTAGATGAGTTTGTGATATTTAGAGTAAAAAAATTGTTATTAATAATTTGTGAATTGTATAATTTACTCTTAATTTTATATTAATATTTGATGCGGATGATTTTGACATTGATGATGATAATATTAATATCAATAATGATATTGAATTTTTCAAGTTATATAGAAAAATTATATATAATCTTGTCGTATCAAATATAGGAATTAAATCACGTAATTAAATAATATATTTTGGTGTATTTATATTAGGAAACTTTGAACCGAAACAAGTTTCCACCCTACCCCAATACAAAAATAATCAACCCTTTATATCGATTTTAGCATCATCAACAATCTAAGTACGTAATTGACAAGTAATGATATTCATCCTCCAAATTACTATATATTTATTTTCAATTAACATGGTTTCTACTTCCAAACTCGAACGAGTAACTTGTGGGCACTATATTAAGACAATTCATCGATAAGAATAAACTTGATATTCAACTCCATGAAAAACAGGTTCCAGTTTCCTAGTGACCCTCTAGTGCAACACCAGATCCTTGCATGGTCTTGCATTGCATTTCCTGAGATGAATGATTGGAACAATCCTAATAACTGTACTAGCTAGTTATTAGATTATGAATTCATGATTTTAGTTTGCCTTAAAAGCTTTATTGTTTTTCCATTTTCTTTTAAATACAAATTCAAGAGTTATTATTATATCTTGATCACAGTAACTTTAAAACAAACAATCCATTCATAATTAAATTATTTTTGTTACTTATGTTTCTTTTTTACCATAATCATTTTATATGTGAGCACTCATGATAATGTGGCTTTCTCATTACCATATCGCAGGCAATATTCCCAAAACAATTGGCACACTCACAAACATAAAAATTATAAACCTAGCTGTCAACAAATTGTCTGGCTAAACACCAAGAAGTATTGGAAACTTGACTATGCTTCAAGAATTAGATCTCGATAACAATAACTTAGAAGGTATACCTTCAACTAATCATAATGCATAACTTCTCAACAATTTTGTGTGCTATTATGGGTCAAGTGGTGCGTGCTTCAATTGCATCTGCATGATATATTGTTTATAAATATATTACCATGTTTACCTTTGTTTTTTTCTTTTTGGGCTTAAAAACAAAGGTGAGCATACAATATTGTTATTGATTATGTAAAGATTTGCATTTCTAACTCCATGTCTTCCTATACGGCACATGTAATCGAATTATCAAAGTTAGCACATTTTATGCATTGCATGAAAACAATTTTCCAAAAGTATACTTCCTTATTCAAATTAGCTTCCCTTAAGAAAATTAATGTTTGATAATTCTTTGACTACTGTCATTTTTCAATGATATATTGCTGATAATATATGTTTTAATTTGAGTAAGATAAAATAATCGAATATTCTTTGCAATTCTCTTTTAGCTAGCTCGAAAGTATTTTCACGTCACATGTTTCATAGAGTTCCCTATATAGTTACGTTAAAACCACGTAAAACTATTCAAACAGTTACTATC